GGAAGGAAAAGGAGCGAGGGAAGGAGGGAGAAGGAAGGAAGGAAGGAAAAGGAGCGAGGGAAGGAGGGAGAAGGAAGGAAGGAAGGAAAAGGAGCGAGGGAAGGAGGGAGAAGGAAGGAAGGAAGGAAAAGGAGAGAGGGAAGGAGGGAGAAGGAAGGAAGGAAGGAAAAGGAGAGAGGGAAGGAGGGAGAGTGGGAGGGAGGTAGGGAGAGAGACTAAAGAAAGAAAGGCAGTTTTAAAAAGTTTCAAAAATAATCAGGTTATTCAACTGACGTAGAACTATTAGATAGAGACATAAATGAATAAGAAATGCATGAAATAATGGCCACTGACACACTAAGGAGAGTTTTCTTCTAGAGGCACAATTTCAATGTTTTTTTCTCTAACTTCTTTCTTCTAAAAAAATAAAAATAAGAGAAATCTTAGCATTTTATTTAATCAGTTAAAAAAACAAACAAATACAAAACATTAAAACCTTCCTTGACTAAAGAACCATGGCTGTGGGACCTCCCTCTTTGTCCCTTATTGCTATAACAGAGTACCACTCTAGCACAATATATTTATCTTAACATGGCTCATTCTATGAATAGTTGCCCCTGACCCTGCTTTAATTCTGCTACTTTTAGTTTAGTTAGTACAAGCCCTTGTTTTCCCGTAGAGCCTAAAACCACCCTAGCAATAAGGCAGGACCCTCTCCAAGGATCTAACTAGAATGTCAAATCCATTAGCATGGCCAAAAGCACTCCCTTAGGAAACTTTCCCTCACTGTCATGCCCGGCATTTGCACTGCCAGGCTATGACTTTAACCTTGAAACTGTCCTGGAAGCCAGGCAGTGACGTGGAGTAGATTCAGAGAGCTGGTGTAAGCCATTCTGCCACAGACTGGAGCGTCCTGATAGCAGCAGAGCTGATGAGACCCTTGTACTGTCAGTTTCATGGTGGCATGGCTCACATGTCAGCAACAAGCTGGCCACAAGTGCCCTAATGAATAGCAAAGCTGGAGCAGTAGCCAAAAAGACATGACCTTCAGTGAGCTCCAGGGTGAAGAGAACACAACATTCCCAGGGCCAGGGCACACTAATAGCCAATAAAACTATTTCTCAATCTTTACAATCAAAATAAGTCAAAGATGAGCAGCGAGAGGGACTGAAGACAAGCTACCACAACCAAAAGTCATAATCCGTTGTCTAGTTTCCAGACTTTCTTGCCAGAAGGAGGATTCAGACACTCCCAGAAGACACTCCGACACTGTAAGAAGTGGCTAAAGCAGAAGTTCTCAACCTATGGGTCATGACCCCTTAAGTGGTTGAATATTAGATGTTTACATTATGACTCATAACAGTAGCAAAACTACAGTTATGAAGTAGCAATGAAATAATTTTATGGTTGGGGGTCACCACAACATGAAGAAGGGTGTTAAAGGGCCACAGCATTAGGAAGGTTGAGAGACACTGGTCTAAAGAGGTCTGACTCCTTTCAGCAAGAGTTAACTCAAGCTACTCTGAACACCGCACACACACAAAGGAGACCTGCAAACTTCTGAGGGCTATTGGCTGCAGGGTTCACACTGATATTCCACACTGGCATCTGGAGTCCTAGACTAAGTCCAAATCAAATGGAGGCACTCGATTCCCAAATCTGGTAAGGATTTCCCTAGTCCCCAAATGTGCAATCACAGTGATCATACTAGGAGTTGGCATAGCCCCCACATGGTTTGTTGGTCCTAAGGCAAAAGCTATCATAATGTGTGTATTGGGGGAAGGATCCGAATCTTCCTTCTCAGCAGCCCTGATGGGAAAAATCAAAACTGCACCCATGTGGCGGGGACACGGAGGAGGGGTGGTGGTCCATCTTAGCAGCACATCTGTGGTGACAGCATCACAGTTCAACACCCTCCCCACTCCCCCACCCCAAACTCACTTCCCTCATTCCTCCACTGATCTAGAAACCGTCTGCATGTCAATCTCTACCTCACAGTCTACTTCCTGGCCAGAAACAGATACAATTCTACTGTGTGAGATAAATCACGAAGAAGAGCCAGAGTCTTATGAGTGGGTTGGCTACAAGAATTCAAATTGGTTGCGCATGCAGGCCAACAAACAAGCAAGATCTAACTTAGGAGTCTTCTTGTCTGCTTTTGGCTCTGTGTTCCCAGTGGCTGAGGTTGAGCCAGCTTCAAATAGCAGCTGAGGTTGAGCCAGTCACAGATGGTTAGACCAGCTGAAATAGCACGCAGGCAGTCAATAAGCCACACTCTTCTGTTCCGGCAAGCCCGTTTTCTGTATCTAACAAGATGGCGTCCTCTGAACACGTTTCCAGTGCTGGGGAATTTGCAAGATGCTCTTCACTCCGGTTAACTGACTCACTGAATAAACCTGAAGTTTTTCTTTTAAAAAGAAAGGCTGAAAATTTTGAGCAGTGCCTTTACTGGAGATGGTATTCTGACTTCTGAATGGAGTCACTTTGTATTTTCATATAATCCAATGTCTGTCAGTTACTTCACAGTGGGCTGAAAAGCCATTTCTGACCTTCTGCGCATCGGGGAGGAAAAATAAGCCCACTATGCAGAATGTCCAGGGACAATTATAGATGAAAACTAAAGGTGTATTTTGTTGAATCTCTTAAGTTATAATTACAGCATTTGCACAAGAAATATTTTAGGAAAAACTTAGGAAAAAATAGAAATATAAGCACAGAGGATGAATAGACAGATGATAGATCCCTAGGTACATAGGTAGATAGACACAATGATAGCAGATGGAGATAGTTAATAGATAAATGATAGATAAGTGGATGGATGGATGGATGGATGGATGGATGACTGATAAAGACAAATGATATATTAGAGATATATAGATAGACACATTGATAGAGATAGATGGCAGAGAGATGATAGATGGGTAGATGGTAGATAAATAGATGGATAGTCCCAGGATGTGATGTTATGTTTTACAGTGTTTGGTGGGCCACTGGTGTTTTGTACCTTGAGATGAAAATAATGTCATCAGTGGAACTAATAACTGAAAGAGAATACCTGGTGTCTGGTACCCAGCCAGAACACGATGGCAACAAAAAGAACACGTGCTGTGGTCTGTGATGCCCTCCATGCATCCTCTCTAGACCCTTCTCTTTTCCATCCATGTTTCGCCTTTTTCTTTTCCCGTAGCCTGGGCTGACCAGCTGCACTCAGATAATCATTGCGCAATACAATTAATGACTTTGCTTACAAGATTCTTGCTAGTATTTTATTTTACCATTTCTAGTATCTGGCCTCATAAAATCAACTGAATATGGAAATGTGGACTTCAGTTGTCTTCCTCTGCGGCATATGCTATTTATGCCTTTTAAAAAGCTGCTTTCTTGTTACGGTTCCAGGGTATTTCACTGATGAGGGCTATCAAAATGCACCTACAAATCAGCCACGAGGAGATTACTCGAACACAAACTGTTATTAGGAAAATGGTCACGGCGAGAAAACAGCAACAAAGAACGGGCTTCAGGGAAATGCCAGCTGGTTTCTGCTTTCCAGAAAGATCTAAATTCTAACCCCCAGAAATAAGGACTTATCAAAGGCTGCCACTCTGAGTGAAATTAGATCTCTCTTTTAGGTGTGGAAGTAGGCCACTCCTGAGAAAGCAGAGCTCAGAAATATTGGGGTGCGGCTCATGTTACTTCTAAAGCAAGGGTGAGGGGTTCAGAGCCAGAGCTGCTTTAGTGTCCAGGAGGCAGCTTGTTCTACCCCTCTCACATGTGGTCCTCCAGGTACGCACAGGGGCTAAACAGTTTCCGGGTAGTCTTATCTGGTTAAACTGCCGGGCATATGACTCAAACACAGTCCTAAATAACAATGGATTTCCTCCCTTTCCCCTCATAGTCGATGATGTTACCTCTACGATAAGCAACGTGGAGATGGCGTTATCAGATTTGCTCCTTCAACCCGCCTTTCTTTTAACAAAAGACAGTCACCAAGTTATGGAATATTAGAACCAACAAAGATCTTAAAATCATACTTATTTGACTACTAGTAAAATATAGACGTATGAGCAACAATTGTTCTAGTAATTCCAATCCTTATATCAACTCACTGGCAACCACTCTTCACAATGGAATTTACTGTTGGCACTTGACAATCACATGGAACAAAACAGAATCAACCAGCTATTATAAACACAGCTCCGGGCATACAATATTCCCTGAATGATTGATTATTTGATGGGTTTTACGACACAGAAAATGGTTTTATGGGTAGAATTTTCCCACCTATACTATGTTCAGGTGCCATTTCTCACTGTGATTCAGTAAGGGGAGACAAGGACCTATCTCAAGGACATCTACAAAGGGTTATAGAAACAAAATAAAGAAAAAGTAAGACAATTTCTAAATTATATATGTAAATTTTAAAGCTTAGGTTTGACTAGTCAATTATAACGTGACATGTATGCTGCAACTGCTACTCCATGTATTATGTATGCTCTAATGTGCATTCATTTGTTCTCTGAGAAGTTTACAGCCAAATATCCTCAGGAAATCTCTCTACTAAGCAAATGAGGAAATAGCTAAGATCCCCTATATGTCCATTGTAACTCACCCTCCTTTCATAGTCTATGCTCACTGACTGTGCACAGTCCAGATCCATTTCACATTTCTACCCTCCTTTCCCTCCTGTGCTCTATGTACAAGATGAAAATAAATAGTTCATCTACTTAGTTGCTGTATCTATGTATTTAGACAGAAAATCATGTGATATGGGAAGGTCCCAGTAATTCATTCCATTTACACATTTAATTTCCATAGCCACTGAATAGACTCATCATCACACTGGTAAAAATGAGAGCAGAAAATGAAAAAAATCTAGGGTCACCCCATCATCCTGAAATTAACCCTAAGTCTCTGAAAGAATTGGCCTTCACCCTCTGCTCCCCCGCCCAGGGCACTGCTTCTGCCCAGTAAGGGGTAAACAATCAAGAAGGAGCCAGCTCTGTCTAGGACCCTGGTGTTACCTCTGAAAGGCGAAGCCATGCTGCTCACAGAGGAGGATGGCTACCAGGACTCCAAGCCCATAAAGCTTCATCCCAACAGCTACTTGCTGAGCAACAAAATTCCCCAAGGGAGAAAATCCCAGATAACCGATTGCATAAGAGGCTTCTTTGCACACTGGTTAAAGGATAACAGGGTTCCCTCTGGTTTCTGTAGCTCAGTGGACTTAGTGTCTGTTTCCACAGTCTAAAAGAAATGTACACATACAATTAGGTTGTTTGATAGCTAAACCTTCAAAACAAAAATATGATGAACACCACCATTGCGTCTAGACCATCTCAACCCTGACACTGTGACATCATATACAAAGTTCAGGCAACTGAGTTACAAAACAAACTCAAAACATTTCATAATGTTCCAAGTAAATTAGTGATTTTTGTATTGGGCCTCATTTGTAGCTCTTCTTGGCCTCTTATAGCTGCATGTAGCCTGTGGATAGCAGGGTAGACACACCTAGGAGAAGAACTAACCCCTCAGAGAAGAAGGCCTGGAAAGTTCTGTGGTAGGGTATGGTCTGAAGATTCACAGTCATGAAGAACTATGGGATCATAGCCCATGTCAAGGGAAGGCCTCCAGGGAAGGACAAAGCTATTGTCCCTGACCGTGTCCTTTTTAACACTTTCAACTTAGGTGAAAATACAAGGGAATGGGGGAGGGGAAGTTCAAAGTGTGGCTTTAAAACGCTGAGTAGCAGAGTCTGTGTAGGGGATTCTAGAGTCTCCATTAAAAATATCCTCCCTTAACCACACAGAATGACAGGCCAACCCATCAGGGCTGTCGTGGGGCCTGGTACAAGCAGTAAGGAGTTTAGGCAGCTATGAAGTATGTTTATTCAGAGAAAGTCCTTACAGTAGCTGCCATCTCCAACTAGGACTCCCCACCCATCATTTTGGAGGTGGCACCATCTAACATTCTGTCTGGTGTCAGGCCACATCTGCACTCTGTAAGTGGACAGTCCTGACAGTCCTCCCCATGTTCCACCTAGTAAATATCTTTAAATGTTGCTGAGGTCAGGGCAAGAAAATTTGCAAAAATCGTCCACAGCAAACACTTGAGAGTGAAAAAAGAAATGATGCGATGTTTCAGACTCCTGAGACTTAAAACCTCGAAACAAAGTCAGTGGGTTAAGGTGACCTCCACTGAAAACAGTTTTGCTTTGTTTTGTTTTTGTAAAGCAAAAGAGAAATAAGAAAATATATGCATATTTGCTCATTTGTGGGGGAAAAACACAGGAAGGATAGGTCATAAATCAATGGGTTTGCTCTCTCACAGACATATGTGGAAAGATAACACGGTAGAAATAGCGAGACATTTATTGCAATAAGCCTCTTGAATAGGGTCATGTTATGTTTGCACATCCCCAAAATAAAGGAACATAAATTTAAATGATGAACACAAACAAGAGCAAATAAATAATATGGCACAGAGGAGAGGAGCAGAAACTAGCCCGAGTAACTCTCTCTTGCTGAAAACAGACTTTTTCACACAACATATTCTGGTTATGGTTTCCCTTCCCTCATCTCCTCCCAGATCCTCCCCACCTCCCCACTCTTCCAACTCCATGCTTTCTTCTTGTAGAAAACAAACAGGCAAATTAAACAAACAAACAAACCAGAATAAAATAAAACAAAACAACAAAAAACACATACATACACTAAAACCTTAAAAAAACAAAACAAAACCAGAAACCATAATATACATGCAAAAAAACAGTAATGGTAAAAATGTCCAAACAGCTGAGCTGTGGTGGTGCACGCCTTTAATCCCAGCACTTGGGAAGCAGAGGCAGGCTGATTTCTGTGAGTTCAAGTTCAGCCTGGTCTATAGAGAACAGCCAGGGCTACACGGAGAAACGGCATCTTTAAAAACCAAAAACAACTAAAAAAATCTACAAAAATACCATTGAGTTTGTTTTAGAGCTGGCCATCTACTGCTGGACATAGGGTCTGCCCTTAAGTGTGGTTTGCATACTCAGTGAGACTCCACTGGGGAAAACAAATTTTTTTTTTATTTTTGAGCTGTTATCAATTGGAGATGGCTTTTTGGCTAGGTATGGGAGTTCCTGTCCACTTAGCTCTGGGACCCCATCTAGCCCAAGCTCTGCAGGGCCTGTGTGTGCTGGCTGCCATTATCTCAGAGAATACATTTGTGCTGGGTTTTAATGTATGTAGATGTGTGTGTGTGTGTGTGTGTTCATGTGTGTACACACAGATACAAATGTGTGCACATGTACATGTATGCCTAAGTTTTTCCTTTTATTAGCACAAGAAGTAACTAGTCAAGAGGTAAGATATTCTGAGAAATATAATAAACCTTGTCCTATATATTTTGTGTTCTGTGTTTCCTAGAGAGAGTATGAAAATCATTATCATGTGAATTACATCTCTTTCTGCTTAAATAATCTGAACATTTCTTTTAGCAAAAATCTACAGAGATCTTTTATGTTCTTTGTGTCTGACTGTATTAGTTGGGGCTCCTATTTCTTTAATGAAACATCATGACCAAAAGTACCCTGCAGGGGAAAGGGTTTATTTAGCTTACATACACAGAATCACAGTACACCAAGGGAAACCAAGGCAGGAACCTGGAGGCAGGAGCACCTTGGAGGGTGCTGCTTTCTGGCTTGCTCCCCGTGGCTTGCTCAGTCTGCTTTCTTACAGAACCCAGGATCACCAGCTCAAGGGTGGCACCACCCACCATGTGCTGGCCCCCTCCTCCATCAATTACTCATGAAGACAATGCCTACGGCCTCATCTCATAGAGGCATTTTCTCAATCGAGGCTCCCTTCTCTCAGATGGCTCTAGGTTGTGTCAAGTAAGCATAAACCCACCCAGAATGCTGACCTTAACTTCCTTCTTCCCTTAGTCCCCAACACTAGTGTAGCTGCACGTAGCATGTGTGACAGAGACTTCCTGTCCTACAGCATCTCTTGCTGCGTTGGGACTCTGCTGATAGGCTCACTGCTGCTCCTGGGCAGGCTAGCTGTCCTTCTTGATGCTTCTCAGATCTGTCCCTCTGGTCTAGATGTGGTTTTACTTTTATGATCTTTTGATCTGAGGATTTAGGTTTTTTTCAATCTTCCTTCTTCAGCCGTTACACCTTTGCTAGTCCTAGGCCGGGGCTTCCACTGGGGTTTGTCGCTCGCTCCTTCACGTCCTGTATCTGTCTTTTCACGTTTTAGAAAATAGTTTGTTCTCTCCTTGTGTGCTCCTTCCTGGGTGTATTTCTCTGCACCACCTTCAGATCACTATTCTAGCAGTGACCCCAAAGTCACTGGAAAATTATCTCAGCAACTATAAACCTTTCATAGGGAGTTTATAGATTTACCAATTTTGTTTCTTGTATCAGTTCTTTAAAATACTATGTAAAACTGCTTTATTGCTTAATCTTTTACAGTAAGGTTGCTTAAGGCACTCTCCCCCCATAACCCCTTCCCCCTGCCTTCCTCCTCTCCATTCTCTTTCTGTAGTGCTGGGAATAAACTCCTATGCTTGGCAAGTGCCTCACTCCCTGAGTTCTAAACCAGCTTCTCTTTCAGATCACGGAGAGTGCTCAGACTATGTCTTTAAAGTCAGTGTCACATTGCTCTGCCGGGTCAATTACATCCAGAGTGAATCTGTGCTGATTTTGTTGAGTGAATCTGTTCCTAGTGAGTATTTTGCTGCTGCTCTCATTAGCTTGTGTCTTTTCAGTGATAGAGTCCTGATTTGCAGGCTCATTTTAAGCAGAGTGACTTTCGCTCAGGACGTTTCGATGCTCACTTCTTGCTGTTCTGTACTCCCCACTGCCAGCCCTAAGTAACACCTCCGCCCCCACAGCACACACAGGGTTTCTCTGTGTAGCCCTGACTGCTATAGAACTCACTCTGTAGACCAGGCTGGTCTGGAATTCAGAGATCCACCTGCCTCTGCAAGTAACTCCTTAATGGCTGGCTTATGCCAGATTTTGGATTTCCTATCTCAGAATAATGCTAATGGCTTTGGAAATGCAGGCACCGGGCAAGGGCAAAGGGACACCTTGACTGAATATTTGCTCTTTTATTGCCTGCAAACCAGTGGCTATTTGTAAACTACTCTGGGTGGCAGTGAGCAGCCCTCTGAGAGTCTTTTGATTGTGGCATGTGCAGATACAGATACAGATACAGATACAGATACAGATACAGATACAGATACAGATACAGATAAGTGAAGTTGGATTCGCCTTACAAAATGTGTGTGCTGGAGTATCACACCCCATCAAGGCACAGCAGTGTCACCTCAGTCAGTCTCTGCTACGGTTCTCCCTCTATAGCGCAGCTTCACCTGCTCTGGAACATCAAGTGATCACACAGCGAGCTGACTTTTGTCTCAGGCTTCATTGGTTAGTGCCTGTTAAAGAAGCTTCCACATCATTGTGTGCCCTAGTAACTGACTCTTTCTGGCTGCTGGGTGGCATTCAGTTATAGCTGTAACAGGGTTTATTCACATCGGAGATGCCCTCAGTTTGGGGCTATTATGCGTGTAGCTGCTATGGATATTTGTCTACAAGGCTTTTTGCACGAGAGCCATTGCTAGGGAGCAAGCATGTGTAGTTGTTAAAGTCCCAACTGCTCCACATCATTCTCACTGCAGTCAGTCTTCCCACTGGAAAGCTATTCTAGTAAGTGTGTGGTATTTCTTATGATGTATACAGTGTTCTGTCTGCCTGTACACCAGAAGGGGGCACCAGATCTCATCACAGATGGTTGTGAACCACCATATTGAACTCAGGACCTCTGGAAGAGCAGCCAGTGCTCTTAACCTCTGAGCCGTCTCTCTAGCCCAGTGTGCTGTGTTTCTTGGTTTGGTTTTAGTTTATATTTTTCTGTTCCTGTTGACCACATGTGTGTATATGCGCCTATGTATATGGAGAGTGGTATGTGTGGTAAGATTGAAATATATAATGATAGCATATATCGGATACATTGTATATTTAGTGTGTATGTGTATTTATGTAGGCGTAGGCAGAGAGAAGTGTTGATTCCAATCATGTGTCTGATTTTGCTTGGGATTTTG